AAAGGAAAATATTACACAGGGCCTGGAACGATGCCATGTCTACATTATATATTTTATCATAAACTTTCAACTTAACATTTATGATGGGTACTAACTTAGCTCTATTCACAACTGTATTTCTATTTGCTTAGTTCCTCTAAAATTATTACTAAATTCTGTACATATTGAGATCTCACTACCAGTATCTAAGAGCCATTTGCATAGTTTTTCATCTTTATTTGTTATTATAGGTAAAGCAATAAATGGTCTAATGTCCTGTTTCACATTTTCCTTTATCATTAGTATCTCCTGATGTATTCCTGAGGTTTTCATGTCATCCCTGGGCGTCCCCATGGACGAAATCTTTCTCCTCCTGATGTATTCCTGAGGTTTTCATGTCATCCCTGGGCGTCCCCATGGACGAAATCTTTCTCCTAAAAAATGATTCCACTTAATAGAGATATTCTGAAAGTTCTTTCTTCGATTCCTATTTCTAAAAGTTCTCTGGTTGAAGCGAGACGGGGCCCTTCGTCTGATTCGCCTATTTCCCAGATTTGTTTCAATAGGTCTACCTATGATTCTCTGGAATGGATTAAATTGCTTCACATTTCTGTTTTGGAATCTTGGTCTATAGTTACCAAAGGGTTTAATTTGTCTGAATATCTTAGGTTTCCGTTTACTTTCTGCTTTCCTTTGTACTTGAAAAGAAAGTATTCTATCTTTGCCTAGATCCCTGTAGTTTTTAAAGAAATCAATTGCTTCTGCAATTGTTCCTAGCCTCTGTAATGGAGCTGCTAGGCTCATCCTTAGATGTTTTGGAGCTCCTCTCAGTATAAGTTTTTTAAACTGAGGTAATAATGGTGCTGCTTATGGGGTTGGTATTGCATCATACATGAAATAAAGGATTCCCAATTTTCTTAGAATTGCTATTGCTTGTGTATAATCTGTCCATCCCCCAGATGCTTCAAACTGTGATATATCTAGGGTTGGAAATGCTAATCTCCATGCTGCTGAAATCCAGTCTAGTAGAGGGTGTACATCCCCCTTACATGTATCTAATACATGTTCTAGAGCATCCATAACTGTAGGGATCTCTACAATATTCTTTGATTTACGCATTTCTTGCTCTGTCATCATTACTGTATCAGCACCTTTTTCACATAATCTGGACATAAATTCTGCATCAGTTTTACCATTCTGTGCATAGTCCTGTCTTAGCGCGCTAATTTCTGGTGGGGTATAAGCCCTCACTTCATCATACTGTACTCCTTCTTGTACTGTCCTGGGCCTAGGATTCTCTGGAGTACTAAAATTTGGTGCTAACTTTAGTGTACTTGTTATTCTCTTAAGTATAGGTACCTTCTTTGTGCTAGTACTTACTGGGAATGACATACTTGTACTTGGTGAGCTGTCTGTCATTCTATCAGCTTTTATTACATTTAAGGCTAGCCTTTTTCCAATAAGTCTGTCTTTATCCAAATCTTGGATTGTTTTAACTAAAAGAGCCGGCACTTCACCCTTGTTTGCTCTTTCTAGAATGGGTTGAACAGTTTCTGGTTTAGTCAGCTCGGATTTCACACTTGTACTTTTCATTCCTATCTTATTTTTAACTGTATAAGCTGTATTCATCCATCTTTCCTCTATTTCATCCTCACATTCTCTTCCTGTTACAGGGGTTATTCTAGTCTTTGTAAATTTCTTAATTAATTTATTCATATCTTATTTATATAGTAACTTAGCCAAATAATACAAGAATTTAACTTCTCTCTTTCTCAAGTACCAAGCAAAGTTACTTGGATGAGAATGTATTAGAGTTTCAAATTTTTTTGTCTGCCTGTCTTTCAATTCTTTTAGATAGGAATTTTAGAATTTGGGTTGCATCCGGCTGTGTATTTTCAGACCAGATTTTCCCTGACAACCTTCTGCTCTTCCTACACGCCAATGCCCGCAGTTGGCATCAAGGTGTCTAGTAATCACCCACAATGTCTTTCCCGGCACGCGTCAGCTCTTCCTACACGCTAATGCCCGCAGTTCGCTTTAAGGTGTTGGTAATCCTCCAGGTGTTATAGTCTTATTTACCCTTTTGGATGCATTTAATTTAATTGTTTAACGACCTATGCCCTTAATTTATAGCCAAATTAGCAAAATTAGAATTCCAGAAGACCAATATTTTAGTTAGAATTTCCACTGCTCGACTACGCCAGCTGTCCTGAGTGGGGCAGTTACTTGACAGTAACTGTCCTGAGTGTGACATCCAGAGTGTGTCACTGCTTCTCGGGAGAGCTTAGGACAGGCGCATACGGAACAGAAGAGATTCTCCACACGACTGATTGGTTGCAATATGTATTTATCACACAGTTAAAGCATAACAATACACATCAACACAAACACTCAAGGGGAAACCCGGTCCTCTAGCAATTCAGAATCCCAAAGTCTCATGGGAATACCTTCCAGAGGTTAGTCCCTCCAGTACTCTGTGTGGAGTCACTCAGCGTCCACCGTGATCACTGCACTCTCCCAGCTGGAGCTGTCAATTCACAGGCTCTGATCACGTCTGGTCGTAGCAAGCTCTCTCCAATCCTAGAGCAGACCAAGATTCTACCGGAGTTCTCGATCTGGTCTCAAACAGAATTTCGGCCTGGCCTTGGGCAAAATTTCGGTCTCTCGGGCAATGCGTCAGGATGAGGCTCACAGAGTCAGCGTCTCGTGTAGCCAAGCATTGATTAAGTCCTCGAGTTGTCAGTTTTTATGTTTCTTTTTGGCTGGAGTCCTTCTGACTTACATCAGTAACTTCAGCTGTTTCTTGAGATATGGCTTCTCCCATAGGATTACTTATCTATCACACACAGGCATTTGAGCTACTAAGTTTCGACTCTCAAGTCCCCATCTTCTCCACACAGTTTCACATAGTTTCTGTGTGGTGATAAGTGAGCCTGAGAAGCCGAGAAGTTCCTAGTTTCTAGTTTCATTTCAAGGTCACTCTTAATATCCATCTTAATTTATTCCTAATTTCCTAATACATTCAGTACATTCCATCCCCTGATACCTGAAATGCAGGCAA